ATAATTATAATAATAATAAGTATTTTACAAGAAATATAATCTAACTAATATAATATATGAAACTTATAAGAGTATATCTATGTTAGTATCCCTAATTTATGTCTGTATTTTTATATTTATTGTGTTGTACATTTTACTACAAATATAAATATATTAACTAAATTTATAGTACTGTATTATATTATATTATCTATAATCTACCAGAAATATAATCTGACTAATATAATCTATGAATATGAAACTTATAAGAGTAAATTTATGTTAGTATCCCTAATTTATGTCCGTATTTTTATATTTATTGAGTTGTACATTCTACTACAAATATAAATATATTAACTTAATTTATAGTATTGTATTATATTATATTATCTATAATCTATAAAAATTAATAATAACAAAAATGGTAGTTGTTAACTAGAATGAAAATTGTGTTGGTAGTAAAGTTTTATCAAATGTTTTTTCTTTAAATAAAAATTTGTGTGTGTTATTTATGTTGTTCACTTCCACTTTCTTTCCAATTTTAACCTTCTCATTTTTCTTTTGACCTTTATTTTGACATTATTTCTTAACTTGAATTAAAAATATGAACAAGTGACATTAAATGCTCTTCTTTAGGACATTTGGATCACAGAATGTTAGAATACTTCATGGAATGTTAGATTATATAGGAAATGTTAAATTGAAGGGAATGTTAGATTGTATGCAAGGAATGCTGATTTCTGTGTTTGGTTAAAATGGAGGTATGTAATTATTGTAATATAAACTTGTTTGATTGAGGGTTATCTTTTATGTTGTAATGATTATTTTATTTTTATATCCTTACTCTATTTTCATGAGTGTCAGTAAACTACAAACTTAAAATAATTAATTAAGCAATGATAAAAATATATAAGTAAATAATTTAAAAATAATTAACTAACGTAACACACATACAAGTTTTCATTAAAAAAAAAATAAAAAAATTAACAGACATACAATGTTAGTTTTTTCATAAATTCTACTCTGTATGGTTAGAGTGTATTTAGATCTAATAGAGAGTGACGTTGTGAACTTGTTCAGGACACCTTTATTAATAGAGATGTCCAGATTATCCTCAAAACCCCATGATTTTTAGATGTTTTGTGGTATTAGCATGGAATTTGCGTGGAAATTACTCATTCCTCCTTGTCGTACCCCGGACTAGAACAAATTATGGAACTTTGATATAGCATCCAGATGGAAGAATTTTGCATGCATGGAGGGCTATGAATGAAATTCTCCCTACTACTGTAAATTTAAGAAAGAAAAAAGGGTGGAAGTGCAGTTTACCTTGCATTTTTACTCTGTAGGCCCTTTTTAACAATATATAATGTTTAATCTTTTTTATTTTTTATTATTTTTTATATTTTTAATGGACAAGGAGGGGTGGTACCCCGAAAAAAGAGAGAGCTAACTGCTACTTCTTCTAGGCCAGCTCGTCCAGAGACGGTCATGATCAACAAGATCTTCCAAGATGGGAGGGCACCACTCAAGTTTGCGCCAGTGCTCATTTAGATTCGCACCCAAATGTTTAATCTTTAAACAATATGATATAACATATTTTAAAATATGAAAATAATTAAATACAATTAAACTATTAAAAATATTTTTTAAATTTTATAAATTTACAAAACAACTACATAAATTAGCGTGTGTCTGTGTGTATATTTACCAAACTCATTATTATTTAAAAAAAATACAATTTACATACGAAAGAAGATAATATTTTAATATTTTTGGAGGGAGTGTGATACACTTCCCTTCCTTAAGAATCTTGATTTAATATTTCTAGATGGAATGTTAGCTACGGTTGATCCCAAACTTTAATTTGGTGGTCAAACCATTCCCAAATCCCAATACACCGTCTACTTACAACCTCCTTTAATAAGATCCTGGACTACTATAATGTTCCTCCAAACATAACTAGGATTAGGTCCAAACCTAGCTTCTAAAAAAGAATATATCCTATAAAAAATAGTTTACCTTGAAAACCACGCTAATAGTGAGTATAGATTAGTCAAGAATCGTCATCATATCCCTATAAAGAGATATTAAAATTTTGCAAGTCCTTAAACCCAAGGCTCCAAAACGTTTGTGAAGCACATACAACTCCAGGCTAGCCAATGAATTCCCTTATTACCTCTACATCCACTCCACCAAAATCTACTCATCACTTTCTCTAGTGAATTGAATCACAAAAGGAATTAGGCAACAAAAAATACTCATAACATATTAATATGTGGGCATTGCCTCCTTCCCGGCTTTAGAAAGCAACTTCATGTAACCAAAAATTACCCTCCTATTACTACTCACTACTGATGAAAGTCTCAAATATTTCCCACATAATATTAAGTCTTTATTGTTACTCAAATTTGAGAACTCGAAAATTCGTTAGATCTCTCAAATCTAACATTTTATCAAAGTCATCACTCATCAACAATCCTTTAATGTCCTTATTGATGAGATTTTTCCACTGAGCTCCTCAACGGATCTTCAAACTAAGGAAATCTTCATATTGAATTTATGACTTGTGAGGTTCCTAAGGTAATATAATTCACTAAATAGCATTCTAATAATGACGCGAGTTCGCATTAACTAACATAATTTAGTAAGCTTCTGTCAAAAAGTTGAATCCCCAACTCCAAGGGCCCCATACTCCGGTTCGACAATACTGGCTCAGCAGACAGGGCCAAATGCCGGTGCGCAGAAGAGATCTGCCAACTTTGAGCATAATCTCCACACTGTCACTACCGAGGTTCGAACCTTGATCTCTTTTCTCCCAAATACTGTCTACTGAACTAGTGAGCTAAGCTCGTGCGGGCCAAAATTTAATAAGCTTACACCAACTTAGCTTGCAGATCCTACATTTTAAAAATGTCTTTTAGCTCTTGTTTCGGTTGCTCATTAAGCATTGTGTACAAACTTAGTTAATTAAGCAACAAAATTGTATATAGAGATCACTGTATTAATTAAGAATTCCACTAGTTCAAAATACGTAAAGAATTGAAATTCATTCAAGTAAAATATAATATTGAGAATGATTAATGTTTAAATTAAATAGAAAAGAAATAAATGGAGTCTCTAGAAAAAAAAAATTATTTAATTTTTCATTTTAGGTACATCATGTATATAGATCATGTTTCCAACTATAGATATTTGATGAGTTTATTCTGGACAAGTAACATTATCATGCAAAATATTTCTTAATTATGGTCATGCTGCCATAGACCTTTTATCAACTGCAGTGGGAAAGCAACGACCAGAGCTCATCATATGTTTCCTTATAGGGCGTGGGCATAGCCAGCAAAATGGGTTTTGACCTAGGACCTGCCTGTAAACAGAATCAATATGTTAGTTATATATACATATATAATATGTTAATTGTATATTATATAGGCCATGTTTAAATGGCTATTAGCTGATAACTGTTTCGTAAGTTCGCTTATTCGGTCCACTTTGGTGGCGTCACTATTGGAAATTATGAAATTTTCGACCACTTGAAAGTGATCTTAAATCAAGTCAAAAGCCTTGTTCCGACCACTTTTAATATCCGGAAAAACCTTTGTTGCTATTTCCGACCACTTTTTGATATCAACTTGATTTATGATCACTTTCAGGTGGTCGGAAATTTCATAATTTCCACTAGTGCGTCATCCAATCTTAGGGTCCGGTTATGGGTATTGGTGGCGTTCAAGCTTTCGTAAGCCTGCTTGTTCGGTCCACTTTAGTGGCGTCATTCAGGGTCCGGTTATGGGTATGGGTGGTGTTCAAGCTTTCGTAAGCTCACTTGTTCAGTCCACGTTGGTGGCGTCATTTAATCTTAGTGACCCTTAGATAGCGTGATAGTTCTAGCTGTGAGCTTGGTGGTTTATATGGACTCTTGCAAGAGGTGCATGGATAAGGTGTTTTCATTATGAGAATAGAGCAACACCATAGACACAATACCTCTCACTAGTCCAACTTTGCTTTGAGAAAAAGAAAGTTAGAAAGAGATGTAAACGCCAAGCGTATGAAGCATGAATTGCTTCAATTCGTTTGAGTCTCCATGAGAATGAGGCTTAAAACTCATTGTGAGTCCAATGTCCACAAGAGTTGCATGAATTGCTTTAATTGGTTTGAGTCTCCACGAGAATGAGGCTTAAAACTCAAAGAGTTGCATAAATTGCTTCAATTGATTTGAGTCTCCATGAGAATGAGGCTTAAAACTCATTGTGAGTCCAATGTCCACAAGAGTTACATTGGCACTTAGTAGAACCTCTGTGGTCTCCTTGTTGAGGCATTACATGGTCATTATCCTAGTGTTGGAGATTACATTCAAGATGGTGGTTTAAAGTGTGTAGAAGGAAGACACTCTTGTCCCACATTGGAAGGATAAGGGACTAATTCCCACCTTTTTAATACCAACCCATTTAGAAGGCTTAAACAATTGTAGAAAGAGAAGGAAAGGGAACCCCACACGCGCGTGCCACCTGCCCGGCACGGTTCGCACGCGCGTCGGGGTGGGGGTCAGCGTTTTACTCGGGCTTTATTTTAATTCCGAGTTTTTTCTCTTTTAGAGGTAGATTTCATGTAGAAATCTACCATCCACACATTAAGTTGTGGTGGAACAAGTCTTCCTATTCTTGTGGGCATTTTCACCACAATTCTTCCTAAAATCGTGGAGCATGAATGGCTGAGAGGGGAGGGGCGGGTATTTTCAATACTATAAATACCCTGCTTCTCCTCAGTTCTATTCACTCATCAAATTCTATTCTTCTCTTCTGCAATCCTGAGCTTCGGTGTTAACTGGTCGAAAGCAACCGGTAAGACTACAACCGTCTCCGGGAATTTTTTATTTTTAAGGTAGTGTCTTGCACACGTCACCGATCCCTTCAGGATTCATCCATTCTCAGCCTATAAAAAATAGTAGCCCCAGGTCTACGACACATTCTATCCGAATTTTCCCCAACAGTTAAAAGCAAAAATTTATTTTTTCGGATATCATGTCGAGCTTCGTACCTAAGCCTGCATCTGACCTTGCCAAGCTTCAACCTCTTGACGGCCTAAACTATCGTCGTTGGGCAGTCAAGATGCTCATACACATCGAATCTGCTGAACTGGAATACGTTCTCACGTATGTTCCTGAACCTGCTCAAGCGAAAGCTGCTGACTCCACTAATCCTCAAACAGAGGACGGCTCCACTTCAACCCCTGCGTCTGTAACACCTGAACCTGTCACAACTGACAAGTCTCAAGACATCCGGGCTAAGTTCGAGCGGGACAACAAAACGGTTCGCGGTCTTCTGCTGCATCACATGTCTGACAACCTGTTAGACATCTATGCTAAATACAAATCTGCAAAGGAGATCTGGGACATGCTCAAAAGGAAGTATGGCGCTGATGATGCTGGTCGGAGGAAGTACACGGTTGGGAGGTGGCTCAACTATCGTATGGTGGATACGAAACCGGTGATCGAGCAAGTGCACGAATATGAGAATCTGGTGTCCGACCTTGAAGCTGAACTCATTCCGGTAAGTGAAGTGCTACAAACCTATGCCTTACTTGAGAAGTTGCCAGAATCCTGGGGAGAGTTTCAAAACAAAGTAAAACATGAGTCCAAGGATTACTCCTGGGAAGAGATGGTCAATCACATCAACATAGAAGACGCCTATCGACAAAGGTCTGTTTCTAATTCTGGTACGTTAAAAGCTAACATGGTTGAATCCAGTGATGTTAAAGGTGATAGGTCCAGAACTGGGAGTGGTGGACAAAATAAAGGCTGGAAAAGAGGAGTCAAAGCCAACAATAACAACAAGTTCAAAAACAACTAGAAGAAAGGGGAAGGAGGACCTTGTTACGTCTGTGGGAAGAACGGTCATCGCGCGGCGCAGTGCTATCGCTGATGGGGCGCAAACGACCAAAAGAATGTCCAACAAGAGAACAAGCATCAAGCAAACGTGGTGGAAGAGACTGAAGTCATAGCAGCGGTTGTGACGCTGGAAGCAAATGTGGTGACTGGCACGGAAGAATGGATCATAGACACTGGAGCAACTCGGCACTTCTGTGCGAGTAGGATCATGTTCAAGGAGTTTCGTGCCTTCACTCAAGGACAATGAGATCAAGTCTATATGGGAAACGACAGTACTGCTGAGGTAAGAGGAGTAGGAACAGTAGAGATAAAACTCAATTCCACAAAGTATCTGTTTCTGTCTAATGTGTTGTATGTCCCCACTATGCGGAGGAACTTGGTCTCAGGGCCCTTGTTGGTTAGGGCCGGGATCAAACTTGTGTTTGAATCCGAGAGAATGATCATGACCCGTAGAGGGGAGTACCTAGGGAAGACTTATTTACGTGGGGGGCTGTTTGTTTTGCCCCTCATTGCATTCACTTCTGCAAACTTTGAAACTTTCATGAATAATCTTGCCACACGTAATGGCGGTTCTGCGTATATTGCTGTTTCTTTTGATGTATGGCATGCTAGATTAGGACACGTTGGTCTCAAATGCATGAGTAGATTAAAAACCATGAATATGCTCTCAAACGTGCAAGATGATTCGCTTTCTCAATGTGAAGTATGTGCTGAAGCTAAACTAGCTAGAAAACCTTTCATTACTGCAAAACATCATACAACTTGTGCTCTAGAGTTAATACACTCAGACATAGCTGATTTTAAAAATACTGAGACAAAAGGGGGAAAGCGATATTATATATCCTTTATAGATGATTTCACTCGTTTTTCAAAGATATATCTGCTTAGAACTAAAGATGAGGCAGAACAAAAATTTGTAAGCTTTAAAACTGAAGTAGAAAATCAGTTAGAGAAAAAGATAAAAAGACTTAGGTCTTACAGAGGTGGAGAGAATGAGTCTACCTCCCTCAAAACCTTTTGTGAAAAACATGGAATCATCCATGAGGTGACAGCACCCTATACACCACAACAAAATGGTGTGGCTGAAAGGAAAAATAGAACCCTAAAGGAAATGATAAATGCTTTTCTAGTAAGCGCAGGCGCTTCTAACTCTTTGTGGGGGGAAGCTGCATTAACAGCTAACCACGTCCTCAACAGGATACCTCACAAAGGTTATGAAAAAACTCCATATGAGCTATGGAAAGGTTACGCACCCAATCTAAAATACTTCAAAGTGTGGGGGTGCCTGGCCAAGGTAGGTCTTCCTTACTTCAAGAAACCTAATCTTGGCCCTAAAACCTCAGATGCAATATTTGTGGGGTATGCAGAAAATAGCGCTGCATATAGATTTATGTACCTAGACGGCCACTCTATGTGCAAGGCACGAGAGGCCGAGTTCTTCGAACACATATTCCCACTAAAACGTGGATCAAATACCTATGAAAAAGTCTTGTCCTCACTACCTTCAACTTCTGAAACAGAACTTGAGTCAGAAGAACCTAGAAGGAGTAAGAGAAAAAGGACCGAGACAAGTTTTGGGCCTGATTTCATTACGTACATTTCTGAACTAAATGACATCAATGAAATTTCTGATCAGTTTGTGTGTCAGTTAATTCTAGAGGAGGAACCAAAATCCTTTGAGGCAGCTATGCGCTCAGTCGATGCTGTCTTCTGGAAAGAAGCAATACAAAGTGAGCTAGATTCAATCAAATCTAATCACACTTGGGAGGTTGTAGACCTACCGAAGGGAGCCAAACCTATTGGCTGTAAGTGGATCTTCAAAAGGAAGATGAGACCCGACGGGTCGATTGAAAGGTTCAAAGCAAGACTTGTGGCTAAGGGATATAAACAGAAGTTTGGTGAAGACTACTTCTGCACCTATTCTCCTGTAACGAAAATAGCCACAATACGCATATTGTTTGCTCTAGCGTCTTCTCACAAGTGGCTGGTCCATCAAATGGATGTAAAAACAGCTTTCCTAAATGGAGACCTGGAAGAAGAAATTTACATGTCTCAACCTCCTGGATGCGCCAACCCCGGGCAAGAAGGGAAGGTATGTAGACTAGTAAAATCCCTATATGGGTTAAAGCAAGCTCCCAAACAGTGGTACGAGAAGTTCCACAAAACACTGTTAGATCTGGGATACACGGTAAACCGATCAGATGCTTGTTTGTACTCAAAAGAGATTGAGTCTAGAATTGTCTTGATTTGCATTTATGTAGATGATATGCTAATCTTTAGCTCAAATATAAATGCAATAAAAGAGACAAAGAGGTCTCTGTGTGACAAGTTTGATATGAAAGATATGGGCGAAGCTGATGTGATACTTGGAGTGAAAGTCATCAAAGAGAAAGATGGCTACAAGTTATCACAGGGTCACTACACAGAGAAACTGCTAAAGAAGTTTAACAGTTTTGAAGTGAACCCTGCTCAAACTCCATATGACCCAAGTGCAAAACTCTCGAAAAACACAGAGGCAAGTGTGTCTCAAGAGGAATATGCGAAAATAATCGGGAGTCTGATGTTCTTAATGAACTATACCAGACCTGATATTGCACTTGCGGTAAATCGACTAAGTCGATACACTCATAATCCCAGCGATACCCATTGGAATGCACTAAAGAGGGTGTTACGCTATCTAAAGGGAACGATGAACTGGGGATTGAACTTTTCTGGCTTCCCAGCGTCCCTAGAGGGGTATTGCGATGCGAATTGGGTGAATGATAGTGATGAGGTGAGCTCCACCAGCGGGTATGTTTTTACCATGGGAGGAGCAGCAGTATCGTGGAAGTCCACGAAACAGGCGTGCATAGCCAGATCAACGATGGAAGCTGAATTTATAGCTCTTGATCTAGCAGGGCAAGAGGCTGAGTGGCTTAGAAACCTACTGGCAGACGTGCCATTGTGGGGGTCTTCTACGCCGTCAGTGCCCATACATTGTGACTCTCAAGCTGCGATATGCGTAGCAAAAAATAGTGCCTATAATGGTAAGAGGAGACACATAAGAGTCAGACATGAGTCTGTGAGACAACTAATTCTAAGTGGCGTACTTTCACTAGAATATGTGAAATCCGAAAAGAACATTGCAGATCCTCTCACGAAGGGGCTAAACAAAAGAGCCATCCTCGAAACATCGAGGGAGATGGGCTTAATAGCGATACAATGAGCAAACTTCGAGGTTATATAAACCTGGAAGCTAAACACACCTATTCAGAGATAGGTCTCAGGTCAAAGAGTTGACCATACGAGAAAAACCAAGTTATATATTCTTACAGGGTGATTGCTGGTGTGTGAACTGAGTTCAAAACTAACTCTTCTTTCGATAGTTCAAGGTCTAATTCACTATCAAAGGAGAAAGTTACTCAAGTCACTACGTGTCAGTTCAAGGTACAACCACTGACATTAAGATCAGCACTCATGCCAGAAATTCCGTCTTCTTCTTGCCACCTTGAATGTGTGGGGGATTGTTGGAGATTACATTCAAGATGGTGGTTTAAAGTGTGTAGAAGGAAGACACTCTTGTCCCACATTGGAAGGATAAGGGACTAATTCCCACCTTTTTAATACCAACCCATTTGGAAGGCTTAAACTATTGTAGAGAGAGAAGGAAAGGGAACCCCACACGCGCGCGCCGCCCGCCCGGCACGGCTCGGTTCGCACGCGCGTCGGGGTGGGGTGGGGTGGGGTGGGGTCAGCGTTTTACTCGGGCTTTATTTTAATTCCGAGTTTTTTCCCTTTTAGAGGTAGATTTCATGTAGAAATCTACCATCCACACATTAAGTTGTGGTGGAACAAGTCTTCCTATTCTTGTGGGCATTTTCACCACAATTCTTCCTAAAATCGTGGAGCATGAATGGCTGAGAGGGGAGGGGCGGGTATTTTCAATACTATAAATACCCTGCTTCTCCTCAGTTCTATTCACTCATCAAATTCTCTTCTTCTCTTCTGCAATCCTGAGCTTCGGTGTTAACTGGTCGAAAGCAACCGGTAAGACTACAACCGTCTCCGGGAAATTTTTGCTTTTAAGGTAGTGTCTTGCACACGTCACCGATCCCTTCAGGATTCATCCATTCTCAGCCTATAAAAAATAGTAGCCCCAGGTCTACGACATATTCTATCCGAATTTTCCCCAACAGGAAACACTATAGCATCTATAATAAAGTGACCAAGTCCAAGTCCCTCCATTTATAATTGTTTGTTTGATTGTTCATTTCATTGTGTTTACTATTCTTACATGATTCTCATCTCTCCATCTGAAATAGCTTCCAAACACTATACACTTTTGTGCTTAACCACTTCTATTAAACTCTCTTTGATCCAATTCTTGAGACGATATCCCATGTGAGAATACCCTCTCACACTTCACTCCACCACTAGTGCCAACTATCAGCAAGCGAAATCTATCCATGTGATTTAATTATGAAATTTATTTTTAAAAAGTTCAAAAGGTCTATCAAACCCCCTCCTCCACATAGACTTTTTGCTTGCTCAAGACAACCAATTATTTCACGTACTTTTTATTCATTGAGATCTATGTTTTCTTAGAAGATTTCACACATCAACATTACTCTAAATGTGCAAACATAATTTTCCCATGAAAATCTCTAAAGTGTTTTTTAGTATTTGGTTAACATTTCAATATTATATTGCCTTAAAGGTTGAGTTGAGGGACTAACTTAGGGTGTGTTTGGTTCACACATGCATGAAAATTGGAATCGGAATGGTATCAAATACTTGGTACTGGTAATGAATTTTGGTGAAAGTATCTAACATGTTTGGTAGTAGGGTGGAATGAGAATAGTTACTAATAGTAGTGTTTGAGAATGAATAAGGGAATGAAACCCTTATTTTATTTGGGTATGGATTTTTCAATTGATGGGGTATTCGAAACCATAGTAGTGTTCTAAAAACCTATCAACCAAA